GAGGCCGCCAGCAGCGTGGTCAAGCTGTGCCTCATGGGGACCGGCGGCCGGCCCACATAGGCCCCGCGACGACTCGCCCTTTCACGATCCACCCTCCTCTGCTTGTGTCTGTCCCCACCGGCCTTGGCTGCAAGCAGGCGAACCAATCTGCCCGCTGTGTCTGTCTGCCAGCTGTCAATCATAATTACTCACGTGTCCGTTTCTGACAGCGCTTTAGGTGAGGGTGGTGCTGTTTCGCTTTCCAGGAATCAGATTGATGTTTTTTCCCTGACCGAGAGCTCCTCCTCCGCGAGTGGCCCAAGATATTGCTCTGGCCTTGGCTGGTCAGAGACCCTTGTGTGGAGACCAGTGGGCTCGGCTGGCCACCTGGAGTTTTATCAGTCTGGTCCCGGAATAGTGGGCGGACCAGCCCTTCTTCCAACCCGCCACGGGGAAGGGGGGGGGGGCTCTTTGGGGCTCTTCAGAGCCTGCTTCTTGGTAAAGCGCAGCGTGCGGGCAGGGTGGGGCGGGCTGCACTATCTTCCTTGAGGCTACTGGGAGGGGCTGGCTCTTCAGGAGAGAAACGGCCACTGCAGCTGGGAGGGTTGTGAATGTGCCAATGCTGATTCCTTTCACGTCTTCCGCCCTGCTTCTCTCCACAGCCCCTCTTCAGGCTGCACAGGTCTGTGCCTCTCCCTGCTCCGCAGCCTTGGGTGAGTTCCTGCAACTGAGAAGTCCTATGCTCTGGGTTTAGCGAATAAAAGCAAAGACAAAACAAAAGCAAAACAACCCGCAGAAACTGCAGGTTTCTGTCCCGCGGATCGCGCGACTTGGCCGCTGTTCAGGAGGCCTGTTGGGCTCAGCCTCCCGTGGCTGTGGTCTAGGTTCCCTGGGCGCCAGCAGCGCTGTGGCGTTTCCTTTCCTCAGTTGCGTGTTACACCTGGTGTCAAGGGACGGGCTTTGGTGCCATGCAGCTTCCACCTCACCCTCTCCCACCCATTCTCCAGGCACCCTCTACCTTTCCTTGTTAATTGTCTCCTCCGCTGTGTCTAATTTATTAATTCTGGGTGGATGTTCTCTGATTTAGTTGCTTTTCCAGTCTGGCCCCAGGACGGTGTTGTAGTAAAATATAGAAATGTTTAAAAATGCCTAAAAAATGTTAAAAAGGTTTGAGTTAACTGTCCTGAAACCTAAAGTGTGATATTAAGGACACATTCCCCACTGCCCTGAAGTGTGTGTACCCCATAGATAAGGTTTTGAACTTCAATTACTGACTCAGAGTGACTTGCTAAGATAACCATATTTGTGAGTGATGTACTCTCCCTGGATAACCACATGTAGCCCCTTGCCCTGTTTAAGATTAACATGTGTGCATTGACATAATTCATTAATAGACCTGAACTGCTGCAGTGCAGAACAGGCTTTAAAAATGGGTCCTGACCAGCCAGCAGTTCTCACCTGTCGGACAAAGCCACAGTGGCAGGGGCCAAGGCAGGGGCAGTTAGGGGCGATCAGGCAGGCAGGCAGAGGGGTTAGGGGCAATCAGGCAGGCAGGCAGGTGAGCAGTTAGGAGCCAACAGTCCCGGATTGCAAGGGATGGGGCCTAAACCGGCAGTCGGACATCCCCCGAGGGGTCCTGGATTGGAGAGAGTGCAGGCCGGTCTGAGGGAACCCCCCCCCCACACACACACACACCCATGCACGAATTTTGTGCAACCGGCCCCTAGTTATACTATATTACTAAAAGACATAATCACAGAAAATAAAAGGACAAACCTTCCCATTTATACAAAAAAAAAAGGTTCAGAGTTTTGTGTGTGTTATTTTAGCCCCCTGCCCACCCACCCAGTGAAGAGGAGACAGAAGCTGCTGGGGCTCCTCACAGTAGGAGTCCGTCCTCTCTCCTCAGGCAGAGGCGGTCCCTGCAGATGTGTGTTTCCCTGTGCTCCTCGCTGATTTCACCTCTACTTCTTGGAATCACACCAGATCCAGGAAAGCGCTCACCCATAATCTGGGTTCCTTCTTCCTTTGCAAGAGTTGTTTATTCTAAACCTCAGAGCTTGCGTTTTGTCTTACAGCCATTCGCTCTACCAGCTCCATGGTCCCTGCACGCTCATCTCCACTTCTTCTTTGTAATAAATCCCCACGTCCTCTGCCGCCTCCCTACCTCATTCTGCAGGTCAGACTTTAAGCTGCTCCTTAGTCGATCAGGGGTGGGGAACCTTTTTCCTACCAAGAGCTATTTGGATATTTATAACATCATTCAAGGGCCATACAAAATTACCAACTAAAAATGAGCTGCTCTATTTGGTCAAACATGTAATTAACTCACCCCTCATGCCCTGGAGGGCCAGCCTGACGACCCTGGACGAAAGACCTCAGTGTTTCTGTTTCTGGTTTACTTGTTGCTC